GCCTGCCCCTCAGAACCCCTCTATAGCGCAACGAGCAGACAAAGGACAAAGCAGCAAAGCATGCGTGCTCTACTCCCGGTGAGTTGGCATGGTGACTGTGACCCAGTGCTTCGTCCAGGGCCCTTCAGATAGCACCGCCCTCTCCTTCCAGATGCTCCACGTGAACACTGACGACTCTCAAGGTTGAGCGCACCCGACTCCTCACATGAGAGGACTCTCAAGACAGAACACACATCCTCACGGTAAGACGTGTCGAAGAGGGTAGATAAGGTTCGGTGCAGCGTACCTCAAAATAGCTGCCCCCAACCACAAATATTCTCACCAGATGACCTGATGCCGATTGTGATGACCAATCGCTGTTTCGGTACAACCAGCATTAATACTGCCGTTCCACCTCAGCATCAATCGCACATCAGATAGTTCTCATCACACTGCGAACACCCAATATTCCACACATAGCCTTCCTAGCGATCCCCTCTCCTCCTAAGTCGCCTACTTGCCTTTGCCCTCCTCACTACTCACTCGCTACGGCCGCTTGCTTAGCAGACCACATGCATGTACCGCATAGGCAGAAGACAAGCGCCAGATGAGCGCAATGTACCACAACTTCGATACCAAATTGTAAGGAAAATGAGCGATAGCGAACATAAAAAAACAAGCAGCATCAGGGTTTTGCGCTTGCGCCGACGGTAAGCGCGCTACGGAGCGCAGCACTAATTTTTGCTAGCGGCCGCACCAACCGAGCGGGCAAACGCCCACGGAACAGTGACCTCAAGCCAACAGGCTCGCCCGGCCCCCCTCCGTCCCGTTCCTGCCATCACGCTGCTACCGCCCTGATTCGAATTTTTTGGAACACGGGCGGCCAGCCGCCATTGTCAGCCATCACCCACTGGGCGCAGGTAGCTCACACATCACGTGCGAGCGCATGGCTTCGTCGTCCAACGTAACAATATCTCCTTCCGAACAGCCTACAAAGCCGCCACCGCCAACAAGGAAGACCCCAAGGAGGACGCACACTTCGTCACCGCAACACAAGGAACAACCACCACCTCTTCGTCTTCACCATCGCAACATCAGGAGCATCAGCCCGAGGATGAACACAGTACTCGAGAAGAACAAGCGCCCCTCGTCCTTCGCGTGTGCTTCGCCAGGAGTATCTGAAACGCACCGTAAGAGGACCTTCACAACAGCGAGGACAGCACCCCAGTGAAGACTCCGACTCCCTCTAACACTCGACCACCACCCAGCCTTCCTCTTCCGTTCCCTCCCCCCCCAACGCCCCCCGGCCCTCTTCTTCCCCCTCTCCCTCCCGCCCCCTCCCCCCCCAAGATCTCAACGCTCCATTTCAACCCCAACCCCAAACCCGATCAAGACTCATCCTCCTCCCCGAATCACACACACGCCCAAGACATGTCTAAAACTCCCCCATCACCAAAGCACAGCCTGAACCCCCGCCAACCTGCCACACGGCAGAGTTGAACAACACCCCAACGCACCCATCTATCGTACCCCCACCCCCCTACCCTCCGTTTTCTAATCACCGATTCCCACGAAGCGCACGGACCTCCTACTCACCTACTCAACCTCCCGAACACGGACTCACCCACCCCCCCTCCTTCGCTGTCTCTCATCGCTGACATCCCCCAAACCTCTAACCGCTGATCTCCCCTCTCCCCCGGTGGCCCAAGCCCGCCCAGTGTCAATCTTGCGCTAGGCAAACCGTAGGGTTAGTTGCATCTCACAAGATACGCCCTCCACGTTGGCCAACTGTGAACAATAGCGCTCTCAGACAAACTTACATGCACAACAATCAGATGATTAGTACAGTGCGGACATAGATAAACTCTGTTAAAAAAAAAAAAAAAAAAAAAAAAGGAGGAAAGAAACAATAGTGCATACAACGTGACACAATGACAAGCATTTCGGGTACAATATAACTTTAAGTATAGAAAATTAGAACAAAAAACAGAGTAGTAGTAATAGGTTAAAAGATAACCCAAAAGACGACCCCGACTAACCCCCCCCCCCCCCCCTTCCTCCCTCCCCTCTTCCTTGCCCGCTTCCTTACTCCCTTCCATATCAAACGTATCTCCCTCTTCCCCCCCCCCCAAGCACAATCTACTTTCCATGTCCTTCTACTGCGTTCATAAACGCCTCTCACCCCACTAGATCGACCACCCACATATTGAACGGAGTCCACCTGACTGCAGCCTTGCATTGAAAAAGGGAAAAGAAAAAAATCAGTGACATTCACGTAATCTAACTCCAAAAAAACTCAAAACTCAAAAAAAAAAAAAAAAAAAAAAAAACCTTA